GTCAGGTATACACAGTGTCTCTGTCAGGTATCCACAGTGTCTCCGTCAGGTATCCTCAGTGTCTCTGTCAGGTATCCTCAGCGTCTCTGTCAGGTATACACAGTGTCTCTGTCAGGTATACACAGTGTCTCTCTCAGATATCCTCAGTGTCTCTGTCAGGTATCCTCAGCGTCTCTGTCAGGTATACACAGTGTCTCTTTCAGGTATACACAGTGTCTCTCTCAGATATCCTCAGTGTCTCTGTCAGGTATCCTCAGCGTCTCTGTCAGGTATACACAGTGTCTCTGGCAGGTATACACAGTGTCTCTGGCAGGTATACACAGTGTCTCTCTCAGATATCCACTGTCTCTGTCGGGTATCCTCAGTGTTTCTGTCAGGTCTCCACAGTGTCTCTGTTGGGTAACCTCAGTGTCTCTGTCAGGTATCCTCAGTGTCTTGACCTCAAGATGGCAAGGACAAAAATGTTTCTCTCTTTGACCAAGGTTGRATTGTTGAGCTGCATAAGCAAGGCTTCTCACAGCTGCTGTTGCTGAGGGTGGACGCAGTAAAACAGTCATTTTAAAGTTTCTTTAAAAATTCTGAGGGTTATGGAACAAAAAGTCCGGTGGTAGACCATTGGAGGATCCAATTGATTATCCATCAAGAAACAGGACGATCCTCAGTCCAAATTAATCCTGTCACTGCAGTCCTGTAACCATCAGACAGCATCTGAGAGAGAAGGGCTTTATTTTTTTATTTTCTGATGAGAAACTGTAACCTTGTCGGTCCTGATGTCTTCTGATGTTACTGTCATGACAGCATGATCCCACCTGAGATGTTTTCTACACGACACAGTAGAGGGGCTCCATCATGATCTGTTTTTTCTGAAACAATGGAGCTTTAGTGTGTACAGAGGCGTCAAATGGCAGCTGACTCTGTGCAGATGTTTCAGGGGGTCTCCCTCATGACTGGAGACCACCCTCTGTGTGGCAATGACCTGGTTTTTCAACAGGACAGAGTTGCAGTTCACAATGCTGCCTAACAGAAGACTTCCAGAGAATAACATCTCTCTTTAGGACTACTCTGTGATCCCCTGATCTAAACAAAGTTGAGAATATTTGAGGCAAAGGAAGTTTACAAAAATGGACAACAGTTCTAGACAGTGGACGTCCTCAGTGAAGACGTCTTCAACACTTGAAGCAACATTTCCTGTAGCCTCCTGGAAACACAAACATCAAGCAACAAGCATCAAGCATCAAACATGCCAAAACAAGACTTATGAGGTAATTAACAAGAATGGTGCAGCTACCCATTACAGAGTCCTTTTTTCAAATTTTATTTCAATTTTAGTTTTTTTTTAACCTTGTTTTGAGATATAGTCAAACTTTTTAATCAGCTGATGAAAAACTTATTTTAGTTTAATACGTGCTAAAAATGCTTACTCAGATGTCCTGATGCATCTCAGTAATCCAGGTGGAAAAAAAATCGAAAAGAAAAATTAAGTAGGTCCTCTGGATGGGTTCTTCTTTAGTGAAACGTTTCGTCTCTCCTCCAAGAAACTTCTTCAGTCTGATGAGTTTCAGGTGAACTCAGCCTTATAAGCCCTGCCTCCACATGGACAAACAGGTTAGTCACATGCAAATGAGGGCCATCGACTAACAATAGGCTTGATTGGCTCTATTGTGGAGGGTCATGTGCTCCATCAACTGACCCGTGTCGTGTTATGTGAATGTAGTGAATGCAAGTGGGGGTTCAACGTCCCCTTGTTTTTGTCCCTCTTTCCCTCTTTGAGTTGGTTTCATTGGGGCCCTGATTAACACCTTTTGCTCACAGGGGGCTGAGTCATACTTGCAATGACAGCATTGTAGAAGGAGGACAACTGGACACGAAGGCCTCCACCTCTGTTTAATGGTGGATGGACGCTTACTCAGATGTTTTTTTTTTTGTCTCACTCCCATTTCTTCTTTTTGCATTTCCAAACTCTACTTGGAAGCTTCTTAAGATCCATCGGTGCAAAATGTGAATTCTTGCCATTTTTTCAACTGGTCTTAAGATTTTGATCAAGAGTGTATATATATACTA